TCTCTCGCCCCCAATCTGTGAGCTGTACGGACTGTCTCTCGCCCCCAGTCTGTGAGCTGTACGGACCGTCTCTCTCCCCCAGTCTGTGGGCTGTACGGACCGTCTCTCGCCCCCAGTCTGTGGGCTGTACGGACTGTCTCTCGCCCCCAGTCTGTGGGCTGTACGGACTGTCTCTCTGCACCAGTTTCCATGTCTCCTACCCTCTGTTTCTTGGCCTGGGAGCCCTCTTCCAGCCAGTACTCCTTCTGATTGGGACCGATCATGCCACTGCCATCCTGTGGCTTCACCAGGTTCCTGACAGGAGAGAGCAGGCAAATGTAAGTGACAGGTCCCTTCTACCTCCACATCTCTTTGGGACAATTTACTCACTGGGAATGAGAGCTGACAAGAATTTGTTCAGGCGTCAGTGTGAGAGGGTGAGGACTTCAGTGTGACAGTGTGAGGGCTGCAGTGTGTGAGAGGGTGAGGGCTTCAGTGTGACAGGGGCAGCAGTGTGTGAGAGGGTGAGGGCCGCAGTGTGTGAGAGGGTGATAGTGACTCAGTGCCAGAGACAGCAGGTATGGTCTGGAGTGCCTGAGCTGCACTGCACCAGCGTGTGACAGAAAGAGAGCAGCAGTACATCACAATAACCAAGACTCCTACTTCATGTCGAAGTCGTCCTGCCCCACGGGCTCACGCCTCTTGCGGTCCTTCTTGGGCAAGAAGCCGTCGGGAAACCAGAGCGCGCCGTGTTTCCGCTTCCTCTTTGCCACCAGGACACCCAGAACCAGGATCAGCAGGATGATGGCCGCAGCAACACCCAGCAGGTACAGCAGGTGCGACTGCTCTATTTTGCCAGGCTCACCTGGTAAACCAACACACTGGTATGAACCCTGACCGGCGCAGAGCACACTCACACTTGACCCCGTGGTTACATTTTCTGACGCCCACATTTCAATACAGATCGTGCTGTGGTGACAGTGAACATCAAGGGTTGTAAAAAACTCCCCTGCATGTAGTCACCCCTACGCTGAGGCAATGAGAGAAGGCTTTGGAAGAATACCACCTGCTCATAAAGAAGAACCTGCAAAAATGAGGCACTCCTGAGCCAACTGAATAACCGGCACTCAAAGAGAGTGAGATCCCACAGGAGAGGAAACAGCTGATAGAATAGGCTCTGTGGGGAACTGGCCACTCCGCTGGATGCCAATTATACAATCAAACCTTGTTTTTACGGGGTTTTTTCTAACAGATGGCTTTCTTCCAAAGCCCCCTCTCTCTACCTTACACCTAGCCACGGAGGTGAAACTGGGCAAGTCCGATCATACAGTTTAGACAATAAACCTCTGCAGCCCATTCAAGAATATAAGATCCCAAGCGATACATATAGGGCTAGCCTCACTCCCAGTACTGAAACAAGCACAGGAGGCCACAAGAGGAAACTAGACGTGGATGAAATAAGACGAAGCATAGGGAACGCTGTTATTTGTTATTTCAAATTCTTCAGCTACTAAACTAACAATGAGGGCTGTCCTAGTGCCTCCTGCAGGCTGGGTGAGGCAGCGCGTGTGCCCCTGGGGAAGGCGGGTACTTACTTCTGACGCTGACCACAGGGTAGGACAGCGGGGCCTTGAGAGACTGCGCAGCGATGTAAGAGGCGGCCAGGCTGGTGTTGGTAAAGCAGTCATCGGAGCTCTGCACACACTGGCGGTTGTCGATCTCCATGTGCACTTCCGAGCTGCAAAGAGGCACACCGTTACCCACAGTCCACTAGGGGGCGGCACACTCAACCCGCTGCCAGCAGAGCCCGAGGCGGCAGCAAGGCTTTCACAGAACGTTCTTTTCGAACGGTCGCTCCAGGGCTTCTTCCACAGCTGAATTTCAAGTGCGCTGAACAAATACTTCTATAAACGGACCTGAGCTGATTACGCCAATATATCAGGTCACCCTCTCGCATAGACGTGCTCTGTTACCCTATGAGCTCTTCAGCACTGGTTTGGTCGTGGTTACTCAAAGCAGCAACACACGAGGACGACAATCTGCACTGTTCGGTGCTTTCTCCCATTACTCCGGGCTCACACGCGTCAACACGCAACAATAATTCAAAATGAGCCAAATCTGGACTTGAGGGCCTATTTGAAAACATTCCGTCGACGGCGGCGGGACAGGGGCACCGGTGCGGGCCTTACCCAATGATCTCCTTCCCCAGCTCCGGCCGCACCAGCGAGCGCCTGCCCCTGCGCTGCCCGCTGACCGCCCCCTCCTTGCCGAAGTAGGGGAAGACCATGAGCTGCCCCTTCTTGTCCTTCTTGACGCGCAGGTTGGTGCGCAGCAGCGTGCCCAGGGAGCGCAGGAAGCCGCGCAGGTCCCCCAGCAGCTCGCTGGGCTGCAGCAGCACCACCAGCACCAGCGTGCCGTCGGCGATGCGCTCGGGGGTGTCGGCGGCGCAGTCCAGCCCGTCCCAGCCGCACTCCTCCGTGTTGCAGCCCTGGTTGCAGTGCCCGTTGGCGTAGTGGTCCGCGCAGTACTTGTCGTACCTGCAAGGGGGAGGGAGACGTGAGCCCGTGAGCCAACGGCGGCAGGGGTGGGAATTTCGGGGACGCAGGTGGCGGAGGGGGGGGGGAACCGGGAACGGCGGCGGCGCGGCGCCACTCACTTGCACGTGCTGCCGGCGTTCTGGCACTCGAAGCCGTCGAACAGGCACGTGGCGGTGTTGCAGGCCTCGTCGCAGCGCCCGTTCTGGAAGAGCTCCCAGCAGGGCAGCGCGGCCGTGCAGTTCTCCCAGGGCCGCGGCCAGCGCAGGGAGCAGTCGCCCCCGTCCCACTCGCACTCGTGGGTGTTGCACTGCGGGTCGCAGATCTCGTCCCCGGCCCTGCCCGGGCAGTCGGCG